GATCTGCCCACTGTAAGTGAAGATCAGGTTCAAGATGGTCTCATGTGAAGGTGCACAAGTCCATGGGACCTGATGAGATCCATCCACAGGTCCTGAGGGAACTGGCAGATGAAGTTGCCAAGCCATTAACTGTCATATTTGAAGGATCATGGCAGTCTGGTGAAGTTCCCACTGACTGGAAAAGGGCATAATGCCCATTTTCAAGAAGGGCATTATGCCCGTTCAAAAAAGAAGACCCATGGAACTACAGACCAGTCAGTCTCACCTCTGTGCCTGGCAAGATGATGGAGCAGGTCCTCCTGAAGGCTCTAGTAAGGCACATGGAAAGTGAAGGAGAGGTGACTGGTAACCAGCATGGCTTCACCAAGGGCAAATCGTGCCTGACAAACCTGGTGGCCTTTTATGATGGAGTTATGGCATCAGTGGATAAAGGAAGAGCAACTGACATCATCTATTTGGACTTCCACAAAGCATTTGGTGCTGTCCTGCACGACATCCTGGTGGCCAAATTGGAAAAATACGGATTTGATGGATGGACCACCCACTGGATAAGGAATTGGCTGGATGGTGATGGTCGCACTCAGAGAGTTGTGGTCGATGGCTCAGTGCCTGAATGGAGACCGGTGATGAGTGGCATTCCTCAGGGATCAGCACTGGGACCGGTGCTATTTAACATCTTTGTCGGTGACATGGACACTGGGATCAAGTGCATCCTCAGCAAGTTTGTGGACAACAGCAAGCTATGCGGTGGAGTTGACGTGCTAGAGGAAGGGATGCCATCCAGAGGGACCTGGACAAGCTTGAGAGGTGGGCCAGTGCCAACCTCATGAAGTTCAACAAAGCCAAATGCAAGGTTCTTCACATGGGTAGAGGCAATCCCAAGCACAAATACAGGCTGGGTGGAGAACGGATTGAGTGCAGCCCTAAGGAGAAAGATTTGGGGATGTCAGTAGATGAAAAACTGAACGTGAGCTGGCAGTGTGCGCTTGCAGCCCAGAAGGCCAACCAGATCCTGGGCTGCAGAAGCATTAGCAGCAGGATTCTGCCCCTCTACTCTGCTCTTGTGAGGCCCGACCTGGAGTGCTGTGTCCAGCTCTGGGTCCCCGAACGCAAGAAAAACATTGAGCTGTTGGAGTGGGTCCAGAGGAGGGCCACGAAGATGAGCAGAGGGCTGGAACACCTCCCATATGAGGACAGGCTGAGAGAGTTGGGGTTGTTCAGCCTGGAGAAGAGAAGGCTCTGGGGGAACCTTATAGCAGCCTTCCAGTACCTGAAGAGGGCTTAGAGGAGAGATGGGGAGAGACTTTTTACAAGGGCGTATAGCAACAAGACAAGGGATAATGGATTTAAACTGGAAGAGGGCGGATTTAGACTAGATAGTAGAAAGAAATTTTTTTACTGTGAGGGTGGTGAGGCACTGGAAGAGGTTGCCCAGAGAAGTTGTGGATGCCTCGTCCCTGGAGGTGTTCAAGGCCAGGCTGGGTGAGGCTTTGAGCAACCTGGTCTAGTGGGAGGTGTCCCTGCCCATGGCAGGAGGGTTGGAACTCTATGATCTTTAAGGTCCTTTCCAACCCAATCTGTTCTATGGTTCTATGATCTTCTCTCAGACTTTATTTCATTTGGATTGTTACAGAAACAATCTAGTCTTTTAATTTACTTTTGTTTTTCTTGACCATGGGTGATCAGATTTGAACACAACATTCCATGAGAAATCCCATTTCTTCTGCAGGAACGATTCAGGTGGTGTACCTGAGCCTTGCCTCACCTCACCTCATTTCCGTTCCTTAAAGATGCCAGCAGTTCATCCTGCAATCTGTATGCACAGATGTTTCCAGCTCAGGAGTACTTCCTACTAGAAGATACTGTTTTGTGATAGTATTTTGTTTTATTATATTTAACTCTGTATCAGGCTCAGTTCCTGCAGTATGATATCTTAATCTCTTAGCCATGCAATTTCCACTGAATATTCTCCATTCAAGTATTGATGCAGAAACTAGCCTTTATAAGTGTGGTTAGAGGTTTTTTGTGTGTTGAGTGGTCTCATTGTTTAACCTCATGGCTTGTGTATTAATGGCTGAATTACCATTTTCTTGCTGTCATTGTGGCGTTTGCTGGCATACCTTTGACAGACTTGAGCCAGCAGCTTTCATAGATGTAACAACTGTTTTTTCTCTGCTACATCACTTACATACTCCAGACCTCTTGATTCCCTCTAGTTTTCAGCTCCTTCAAACAGATGAAGCTTCATTATTCAAAGAAGTCAGGGCAAACATTCTCTTCTTCGGTCTTTTTTTTTTTGTATGTGGAGTTTGCCTTTTGCCTGGGAAAATGTATTTCCAGGGACTTCTAGGTAGAGCTCCTGTTCTGTGTCATTCTTGCAAAATTTTGTAGAGGTCAGATCCTGAACCAACGTTACTAGATTTGAACTAATGTAGGGGAATATATTTCCCGTGAGGTAATGGTGGCTTGGTGGCCCAGAGAAACACTTACAGGTAAGGGGAAAATAAGGTATTCTATTGACCAGTTGAAAACCTTATAAATGGCAGCACATCATTGGGTTTTTTTTCTTTTCTATTCTTCTAGCTTTCACTCCATTTGTGACTTGATGAATAAGCTTACTGAAAGACAGAGACTAGTATGTTCTGAAAAAGGTCATTTCTGTTTACTGGAAATAACTTTTTAACTCTTAAGGAAAACCTGGTATAAGCAGGGTTATTGAAAGTGCTTATAAATATTTTCTTCCGTCCAATATTGAAGATGGGCTCATGTATGTCTATAGCTAGCTTCTGTTAATGCAGTAATTAATGTATCTGTCACCCAGACTGCTTTGCATACTGTTGATTTTAATTACTTCAGTCACTACAATTGCATACTCCAGTGAATTATGGTTGGAATATACTATAGGGGAGCCTCCAACAAGATCTTTGCATCTCATACTTGAAGTGCAAGGGCATAAAAAGACAATAGAGGGGATTTAACAGGTAGCGTTTTCAAAGTGCCTCCGTCATTCTGGCAACGTTTTCGGTCTATAAGGAGTGACATGCTGCTTGGTTGCTTGGTTGTTAATAAGTGAAGGATGGTGACTGCTGAGATATGACTTGCTTGTCCTCTTTAACTCCTTTTTGGAGCCTGTCTTGCAAGGCACTGGGGTTCAGTAAATCACAAGTGTCTGTCGTGTTTTAACCTCAACAAGCAATTAAGCACCACACCTCTGCTCACTGACTCCCACCCAGTGGGATGGGGGAAAGAATCAGAAGAGTAAAAGTGAGAGGGTTGAGATAAAGACAGTTTAATAAATAAAGCAAAAGCCACATGCACGAGCAAAGCAAAACAAGGAATTCATTCACTACTTCCCATCAGCAGCAGGTGTTCAGCCATCTCCAGCAAAGCAGGGCTCCATCACGCTTAACGGTTACTTGGGAAGATGAAACACCATCACTCCAAACATCCCCCCCTTCCTTCTTCTTCCCCCCCAGCTTTATCTGATGAACATGACGGCATATGGTATGGAATAACCCTTTGGTCAGCTGGGGTCAGCTGTCCCAGCTGTGTCCCCTCCCAACTTCTTGCTCACCCCCAGCCCACTCACTGGTTGGGAAGGTGTGAGGAGCAGAAAAGGCCTTGGCTCTGTGTAAGCACTGCTCCGCAGTAACTGAAACATCCCTGTATTGTCAGCACTGTTTCCAGCACAAATGCAAAACATAGCCCCATACTAGCTACTATGAAGAAAATTAACTCTGTCCAGCCAAAACCAGCACAGTCTCTTAGCCCTAAAATTAGCAAGCTCTGTGGTAATTTTGTCTTTCTAATCAACTTTGATGACAAACTGAGGGCTAGATAGTTTCTTAGCACAATAGTCAGATTAGCTGCTGTTCAGCTATACAGTGGGCCTACTCCAGTGTCTGGTGTTTACAACACTGTGTATTTACTGTTTACTAGAAGAAGCTGTAATATTATCTCAGGGCCTAATGCTTCCTATCACTTACTGTTCTATTGGGGTTTTTTTGCCATGCTAGGTAGGCAGTGTACAGAAGTGTTTGCAGAATCCAGCCTTTAGTGAGGGTTGTTTTGGTTTTGGTTTTCTTGGTTGGGGTTTTGTTTTGTTTTGTTTTTTTCATTTAGCTGTAATCTTTAACTTTTTAGTGATGGAATATCTCAGTCACTATATAATATGTGTCTGCTGGGTAGATTACTACTGTGGTAGTCAATTATTGTCTGTAGCAGTAGGAACACAGCTATAACTCAAGTCTGTTAAACAGCAGTTCTCTCAACCTTTTGGAAGATTTGTACCAATCTGCTGGTAGAAAGCACACATAAATTAAGTTGAACTAGTGGGTTAAGTCAGGTTTATGGCTCCTTTGTGTCTCTGGAAGAGCG